TGTCACAAGAACAGAAAACCAAACACCGCATGTTCTCACTCATAGGTGGGAATTGAACAATGAGATCACTTGGACACAGGAAGGGGAACATCACACACCAGGGCCTATTGTGGGGAGGGGGTGGGGGGAGGGATAGCATTATGAGATATAACTAATGTAAATGACCAGTTAATGGGTACAACACACCAACATGGCACATGTATACATATGTAACAAACCTGTACATTGTGCACATGTACCCTAGAACTTAAAGTATAATAATGAAAAAAAAATTGGCAGATGTTCAAGGTGTATAATGTAATGATTTTATATAGCTGTGTAATGATTACCGCAATCAAATGAACACATCCATCACCACCCTTGCTGTGCATTAGATACCTAGAACTTGTGTAATTTATAACTAAAAGTTTATACCCTTTGACCAATATCTCCCCATTTCCCCTAGCCCTTAGACCCTGATAACCACCATTCTACTTTCTGCTTCTATGAGTTTCACTTTTTTAGATTCAAAGGAACAGTTCTTACCAAGTGGTATACATCATCTAAACAGGTAAATTCATTAAAGCTAATATTTAGTTTTCGAAGTCCTGTTAACTTGGAGAGATCTCTCAATTTACTCAAGCTGTTTCCATGTAGATTCAGACTCTGAAGTAAAATAAAATATACATTAAAAAATAATACAGGTTACGTTCTACATCAAACTGAAGTGTGGATATCCAAAATGTTTAGAACAATTATTTGAGTCAGTATACTACAAAATATATGTTATTTTAAATAACATTAAGAAACTGTCAAAAAAAAAATCTATCATGTAAAAAGATAGTTTGTAATAGTATCACTAGACCTGGTTCTGTTGATTAATTCTAGAAGCTTATTAAAAACTTATCTGCCTTTATCTTATTAAAGAGAGCTGACTGGTTATTCAGGAATAAAATCCCTTGCTAATTGGAAGGCCACCTCAAATGGCTATTGAGCACTTGAAATGTGACTAGTCGTAATGTGCTCAGAGTGTAAATATACTTCAGAATTAAGAGTTAGGATGCAATTACCTCATTAATGAATATTCACACTGGTTCCATGTCAACATGCTAATATTTTAGATATGCAAGTGCTATAGTTTGAATGTGTCCCCCAAAAGTTCATGTGTTGGAAACTTAATCCTTCTGCCTTCATGAATGGATCAATGTCACTTTCAGAGGAGTGGGTCTATTATCTTGGGAGTAAATTTGTTATAAAACCAGCTCTATCTGGATCTGTTGCTCTTGCCTTATTGCCATGTGATGCCCACTGCCACTTTATGACACTGCAAGAGGCCCTCACCAGATGCAGGCACCATGTTCTTGGATGTCCCAGCCTCCAGAACGATGAGCTAAAAAAACTTATTTTCTTTATAAATTATTCACTCTGTGGTATTTTGTTTTAGAAATAGAAAACAAACTAAGACATTTCAGTTAAATAAAATGTATTATTAAAATTAATTTTACTTTTTAAAAATACTTTTAAAAACAGCCACTAGAGAAGTAAAAATTACATATGTGGTTCACATTATATTACTACTAGAGAGCACTGTTTTAATCCATGTAGAAAAAGAGAAATGGGCACTTTAGGTAGCATTGTACCTGGCATCATGAGACAGGCAGTTTAGTATCTTTTGACTTCACATGCTAGATTCTGATTCCAAATTCAAGATTTCTGTTTCAAAGCTGTATTCCTCACAATACTCACCACAATATGACTGTAAACGCTAGTTTTTGCAAGGGAAAGTATTGTTTTATCATCCAAACTAATCAGTTTTGGTCGGGCCTTGATTCTGGGCTCCATTTTTATAACTTCATCATCAAATTTCAAATCCTTGGAAAATACTGATCCTTCTGGGGTTTTTTTGCTTTCTTCTAGAATAACATTGTTGAATACAGAAAATAAAGAGGGTGACTTGACCTAAAAAATGTATTAAAAATATTGCAAAGTCAGTTGCTGTATTTATCATTTTGAAAAACAAACAGGCTATGTAGAAAAGATGAGTTGACATTTTTAGTTGTACAGTCATATCTGTGATTATCAGAATCACATTAGGACATCTATGAGAACAGATTAAAATTGTAGGCTACGCATGGTGTATCTATTCCCACCCACTGAAAATTTCTTAAAACTGGCAAAAGATAATTTTAAAATATTTCATAACAGTGAAGAGGGTACCTACAAAGGTCTAGAAATTGTGACACATAAATCAGAAAGGACTGAATTGACAGGTAAATAGGATCAGAAATGTAACCTCTGGCTAAAGAATATGCAGGAGATAAACACTTAAAATCAGATCCAGAGAAACTTGAATAAAGAGCAGTTAGTTACCTTAATTATCAGGTAATTCAGTAATTATGGTAAGAATTGTGGATGAATGAGCAAGAGCCACATAAACAAACAGAACTGGTTCTAGAAGAAACGAAAATACTTCATCAGAGAAGTTTTAAAAATCTAGGACAATAAAGTATCTGTGATAAAAGAATAAGCTGCTATGGAAAAGAAAAGGACATACACTTCGAAGCTAAAATAAAAACAATTATTAAAATAAAAATTTAGTAAATACCCTGAGAAACAAGTGGATATGGTAGCAGATCAAATTAGCAATGTTGAAACTAAGATTGAGAAAATATTTCAAAACAAATAATTTAAAAATAGAGTATAAAATAGAAGAGAAAAAATTAAAAGGCATGAAGGATCAATTTGGAACATCCAATATTTAACTAATAGGGGTGTTCCAGAGGGCCTAATAGAGAACGGAAGAGAAGAAATAACCAAGGAACTACGAGAAGCAAGCTTTCCAGAAGAGAAGAAAGAATTGAATCATCACATCAAAAGAGCTCATAAAGTGGCAAGCAGGAGGATGATGATAGGTCTTTGCTGACATCATTGAATGGTCACAGCTGCCAGGTATTGCCCATCTCTTGACTTGTTATGTGAGTTAAATGAACTTCTATCTGCTTACTATTTGTCTGGGTTTCTGTATCTTTTGCTAAAGGCATACTTGACTAATATAATCCTATTTATTATAGCAATATAACATATAAATGCCCACAACTAAACTTAACAAGAAATGTTGGAGACCTATATAAAGAAAACTATAAGACAGGACCTGAGTAAATGGAGTAGATAGACTATCATGTTCCTAGAACAAGAAGTCCAATACTGCAAAGTAGTCAGTTCACACCAAATTAAGTTTTAAATTCAATATAATTTCAATCATATTTTAATAGGATTTTAAAATAGAGCTTGACAAGCTGTTCTAAATTTTATTTGGAAAAAGATACTGTTTAAGAATAGTCAAAAACAGTTTAAAAAGATGAGTGGGGACAGAGGAAGGGGATTTGCCCTATCACATATCAAGATATATGAAGTTTGTAATAACCAAAACAAATATGATAGTGATCCAAAATTAGATGAAAGAGCTCGATGGAACAGAATAGATTCCTATAGACAGATTCCTAATATATGCAAATAATTTTAATAATAAAGATTGTATTTCAAAATAGAGCAGAAAAGGTAATGCCTAAATAAGTATTTATTCATTTAAAAAATTGACCACTTTTCTACCTCACACACCATAAAACAATTTCTAGATGGATTTAAAAAGTTAAAGGCTTTAAAACAAGTTATGTAAGTATTGTAAGAAAATAAAGAATATTTATTACAGGCTTTTTGAAATAAGACATAAAATTCAGAATCCATACAGGATAAGATTGAGAGAGCTGACCTCTTAAAAATTAACTTGTGAATTACAAATTAAAATGACGAGTTTTTTTCTTACAATTAAAATTAAAAGGCAAGTGACAGAAAATATTTGCAACATATATAAGATAAATGATTTTTAATTATTTTAATTTTTAAAATTTTTTGTAGAGACAAGGTCTCACTATGTTGCCCAGGCTGGTCTCAAACTCCTGGGCTCAAGTAATCCTCTCACCTTGAACTCTTGGGATTATAGGTGTGAGCCACCATGCCTGGGCTAAGATAAAGTACTAATATCCAGAATGTATGTAAGGATTTTCCCAATGAATACAAGAAAGACAGACTTTAATAGAAAAATGGTCAAAATATGTAACAGTTGGTTCATACAACTCTAAATAACTTTAAGCATATGAAAGAATAAAATATCTTGTTTTTTGCCTGCCATACTGGCCAAAAGAGACTGATAATATCTTGTGTTGGCAAATGTAATGAGGCATGCACTGTCAAACACACTTGGAAATTTGTAAAACAGTCAAGTCTTTGTGGAGAGAATTTGGCAAAATCTAACAAAATTTAAGATGCATATATCCTTTGACTCTCCAAGTTTTACAAATCTATCCTGTAGAGAAACTTCCATATTTGTATAAAGATACATCCACAATGATGTTCACTGAAATATTATTTTAAATAATAAATATGGATACAATCTATCAACAGGGGACTAGTTAAATAAATTAGTATTACTGAATAATATACAGCCACCAAAATAATGAAATACCCATCCATATGTACTACAGTGGAAATATGTTCAAGCATACTGTTAAAGGCAAAAAAATCACAGAATACTTAGACCTTATTTCTACTATGTCAAATGGTATCTGCTATTATATATGCAAATGCATAGAAAAAGGATTGAAAACAAACCCATAAAACTGTTAACAGTGCATTCCCTGGTGAAGGAGAATGGCAAGCAGTGAGGTTAAAGTGAGGGCAAAATGTTCATGTTTATTCTTCAATGTAGTTTCAATGTATTTTGAATATTCAAAGTAGACTCAATCTTTTCCAGTGAGAGTACAGCCATATATTAATCATTTGATTATTTGCCTAAAAAATATTAGTTGTCATAATGACTTGTTTTGAAAATTAAGTTATTCACAAAATAACAATTATACACACAGGCACATAATATAAACTTGACATAGCATTATTTGACTTCAAATTACCACTCTGTTCCCATTTAAGGAATTCTAGTCTTTAAAAATATGTAACAATTCATACCATTGTAATATACTCAAATTCAACAACGTATTCTGGCAAAACAAGGTCATGATCAAAGACAAACCACTTGCACTGCCGAACACTGCAATCACAGTTTCTTTGTCCCATGACAGAATCTAGAGTAAAAACAAAAAAAAGCAAAGCAAACACATTGCCTCAAATTGAAAGATACTTTTTCATTCTTACACAGATTAATAAATAACAAACTCAATAAGTTGCAACAATTATGTTACTGAAGATTTTTTCTTTCATTTTTAATAAATAACAAAGTCAGTAAGTTGCAACAATTATGTTACTGAAGATTTTTTCTTTCATTTTTAATAAATAACAAAGTCAGTAAGTTGCAACAGTTATATTATTGAGGATTTTTTCTTTCATCTTTTCCACTCTAGCTTTTTAGTTATATAAATACTTACTAGTCATCCTTTTACTACATAGACTAGTAGTGCTTAATTTTATTCATATCCTTTTCCTTTTCATACTTTTTCACTTTTCTATTCCATGTGTGGCCATGTAATTTTGACAAACGTATTTCTCTAAAACTCTTGTTAAAAGTTGGGTGGTTTTTTAATTCTTTGAAAATGAACACACACACACACACACACAAATAGATAATTACATTAAAATTTGCCAGATTATCTACCCACACCAATACATAAATGTCTTTAAGGTAGGAAACATAAAAATTATTAGTGGCTAGTAACAGATTTTTGTAGAAAATTCTACAAACTTTGTTAAGTAGAAATAAAACTGTGAGTATCCGTATTAAACACAAACATTTTTCATTCAGAGAAATGAAACCACATTAATCTTTATGACAGACATACTTAGTAAATATTTCCGAGGAATGAACACTGAATTAACCATTGGGTAGTTGGATTGACTGATGGATTCTTTTTCATGGGCCTGAGCACTCTGGCCAAGGAAAACTTTTGTAATGAGGAGGATGCCTAAATATAAAAAAAAGAAGCAATTCTTAAGAATAATTAACTTTAATAATTTTCCAACATAACCTTCTTTATTGGCTTAAAGACTAAACTGTATGTATGTTCTGTAAACACAGAGATGCTGGCTCTCTTGTTTGCTACTGTATAGCGCATAGCACATTGCTCGATCCAAAATAGATGCTCAACAAATATTTATTGAATAAATGAAATGATTATAAAAGAGGTGTTGTGTGATTATATCAAGCAAAGCTTTACAGAAGAGGGAGGAGGAAAGAACACATTAATTTGGCAAGGTTTTTTAAGTAGTTAAAAATAAATTTTTGTTGTTGTTAACTGGGTAAAAGTTCAGTAGCACCTAGCACATAGCCTAGGTGGTAGGGGACACTCGATATATGTCTACTTAATGAATAAACATTTCGTTTCCCTTTAGATTCTTAAGGATCCTTGGGATTCATTAAATCCTAAAGTCAAGAATCTAAAAACATAATTTATAATCATAATACATAAAACATTCAAATAAATTTTGTTTGCTTTTGCTATGTACAAGATATAAAATGTAAATTAGGAGAACCTAATTGTTTTGGAAAACATTCCAGAAGGACCTAGCAGAACATTATGAGGTATTCTTAATATGAAAATGGAGAAGAATGATAAAGAACGAAAGGTTTTTTTCAAGTAAGGAGTTAAGGAGTTCTTTCTAGACTAAATAACCTGCTTAATTTTATAATTATTATTAACTGAATAAAAAACTGCAAAACACATATAGTTTAGTTCAGAATGATTCACCTTAGCATTCTGGAACCTAGAATGTCATTCTTATAGAATTAAGTTAACACAATTTCTTTAGTACTGTGGTCTTCAACCTTTTTGGCACCAGGGACTGGTTTCATGGAAGACAATTTTCCCGGAGACTGGGGATGGGAGGATGGTTTCAGGATGATTCAAGTGTATTATATTTATTGTGTACTTTATTTCTATTATTATTACATTGTGACATATAATGAAATAATTATACAACTCACCATAATGTAGAATCAGTGGGAGCCCTGAGCTTGTTTTCCTGCATCTAGATGGTCCCATCTGGGGGTGATGGGAGACAAGTGACATATTATCAGGCATTAGGTTCTCATAAGGAGCACACAACCCAGATCCCTCGCATGTGCAGTTCACAATAGGGTTTGCGCCCCTATAAGAATCTGATGCTGCCACTGATGTGACAGGAGGTGGAGCTCATGCGGTAATGCGAATGATGGGGAGTGGCTGTAAATAAAGATGAAGCTTTGCTCACTTGCCCCCTGCTCACCTCCTGCTGTGTGGCCAGGTTCCTAACAGGCCACAAACTGCAACCAGTCGGAGGCCAGGGGTTGGAGACCCTGCTTTAGTAGGTTGGATGGTTGAGACTGAAGAATAGGTGTTCCTTACTCCCTGACCTGATCTATTGTCCATATTACACATTCTTTGGTACTATGCATTAATACTATATGTTTATAGCTCCTATATGATACTATGATTTTATATTTGTGATTATTAATATTTATAAGCACCATAAAGATGAAACTGTCTAGTTTGCATAGACTGTATCCCTTCCGGTGCCTAACACACAATAAGCATTCAATAAATACTTGTGGAACTAAAGAATGTGCAGTGGAAGAGGGTGAGGCAAGAAGGACATGATAAGCTGTAGTCTTTTTACCCAATCCGTGGGACCAGGGAATCTTTCCCAGAAGTGTCCTATAAATTGGTTTGTGTACTTATATTTCTACATATTCAAGCTGCAAATGAAGTACTAGTAACTATGAGTAAGTTATCAAAAATTTGTCTTACAAGTTATAAAGCAATCCATACACTTTCCAATTTGTCTTTAGCTAATTTTAACCTAAACCCAGGTTTTCTTATCATCTTACATTATGATGATTCAGGACAAATCAGGCCTACCTTCCGAAGTACTTTATATAATTATTATATAATTATCACATATATGGGCCAAATTCTTTTTTCTGTGAATTTGGTGTGTGTTTGTGTAGTGCATATATATAAAAAAATATATATAACATATATAATATATTTTATATATATGCACTACATATATATGTTATATAATATGTATATTATATATGTAATATAATATATATGCTGAGTTTTTGCGAGACAACATAATGAACAAAAGCAGACTGTGAAAAATGTCCTTGAAAAGTTGAATTAAATATCTGAGTAACAAATGTTCCTCTTAATGCTGACATAATAATCACTCAGTAAGTATCTGTTAAAAGTGTGGCTAAATAAATGATGAGAAAGTCATGTATTACTACACTGGTAAATATGAAATAAAATGGTTTGAAGAACATCTCCTTGGTTGATAAAACCAAGTATCATAAATGATATGAAGATAATTAATGAATTTGAAGACTTAGAACTTAAAAGTTCAGAAACATGGCATATTTATATTTACCATGTCTGAAGAGCTCATGCTTAAGATAGTTTTTCTTCTCATCTTTGTGCTTTTGCTGTAAAAATTCAATTCTGGGACACTCACTTATACTTAAACTGTTAGAAAGAATGACGGCTTCTTTTTTGAGAGGCAACTGCAAAGAAAAAACAAAGTCTGAGTATTTTTATAAAATTGACAATACTTCAACTTCAATACAGAGGGTTTATTATTTTATGTTTATGTGTCTGGGCAAAGAAATCTGCAGGCCAGACTCACTGAAAAGAAATAGATAACCTTCATGTGCAACTTCATTTGGCAAAGCCATTTATATATCTTAAATTCATATGCAAATAGGTTAATAAAAGGTGATGCAGAACAAAAATTGTTCCTGGAAAAGCAGCCACAGTCAAGACTGACAACACTGTGTGAAGCAAGAGCAATAGCTTTCAATGAGTACTCCACTAGTAATCTTGCTAACTCCAAAAAGAAAATGTAATGGAATGAGGTATTGTATCAGTGAAGATTCTTATTTATACTATAATTTTTTGGTCTAATAATCTACATTGTTTTCCAGAAACAAAACACTTTTCATGTGCTAAGCCATGGAAGTCCTAGTTTGTATTGTGACTAACTTTATTTCTTGAAAGTATTCTATCAGTAATGTTCACATTACCTGCTTGCCGTGAAAGCAGCTCTAATAACCAAAAATCTCTATTTTTAGATTTTAGTAGTAAGAAAACTAGAGCTAAAAGCGATTTTACGATCTCTCCAAGGACAGAACTAGTAATTGGCAAAGTCATGATTTGAACTCAGGTCTATTTGTCCTTGTCACAATCTCAAAGGTTTGAAATTACTATTTGTTTAACATTAATAGCCAAATTACTTAGAATTATGTCTTATCTGTAAATGCCAAATTACTATTTTTTTATTGAAATCTGCAATCCAAAGAAATTCTTAAAAAATAAATACAGTCAGCCCTCCATGTCCACAGTTTCCACATCTGAGGATTCAACCAACCATGGACTGAAAATATTTAGGAAAAAAATGCAATACAAAATAATACAAATAGTAAACAATGCAGTATAACAACTATTTAAATAGTATTCTCATTGCATTATAAGTAGTCTAGAGGAGTTTTAGAGTACACAGGAGGATATGTGTAGGTTATATGCAAATACTGCACCATTTTATATAATGAACTTGTGTATTTGCAGATTTTGGTATCTGCATGAGTCCTGGAACCAATCCCCCGGAGATACTGATGGATGACTATACTCTAATAGGGCTTATCTGACCACAAATTCCACACCCCTGTAAGTAACCTTCTTAGACTTTCAATGAACACCACTAAATATCCATTTGATATAACCCATGTGCATGACATTGTAAGATTACAGTATAGTCTTGGTCCTCAGTTAAGAAAGGCAAAGATAGAAACGATACACGATAATTTAAAAAATACAAGGCATCACAAGATGTGTCAAATAAGATATACTTTCTAACTGAAGGGATTAGGAAGGAGTTTATAGAGGTAATGAAATCATGGGTAGGCTTTGAAGATTGGACATAATTCAAATAATCAGAAATTTAAAATGAAATTATATTTTAAGAGGAGGAAAACATATGAAGGTATGCAAATAGGTGTGATTGCTATCCATCTATCTAACATCCATTCCTTCACTAGATTTCTACTAAGAATCTACTCTATAAATACAGATCCTGCGCTTACAAACTGGTAGAAAAATGCACACAAATGATTATACTTAAATAAAACAAATGTGTTACAATAAAAATTCTCAGTTGATCACCACTTAACTAACACTTAACCAGTTTGCAGGATTAACCAGTATTTTCTGTTGTCTATATAACTCATAGTATGATGGCCGTTCAGGGATAAAATGGAACTTTTAAAAACACGGATGTACTTCTACTGTATCCAGCTGTGTTGTATGCTTACCAAGAGTCAGTTAATTTTGTTCCCAGACTTGCTTATGCCAGTTGTAGTTGTTACGAAATTACATATATTATTTAAAGCTATAAAATAGAAGAGGAGTTGTTTCTTTGAACAATTTTGGAAAAATGAGTAAAATTCAATAGAAGATAATCATTAAAAACTTCTGGCAAGGCATGTGTAGACAAAGCAAATGCAAAAGTTTGGGGTAGTTAGAGGGAATCAGACAAACTAGAAGGATTCTTACATTTGAGTTACTTTGCAAGAATCTTTAAGGGCATGCTCAACTTTAAGGAAACCAAAACTAATATGAAACATGGTTATGGCTGATACAAGAAAGACTAGTAAGAGTTCCAATTTCATAGTCAAAGCCTTCGGCCCTACATAGAAGATTGACACATGAATGTAAATTTATGTTTTAAGTTATATTAAAGGATTTGTTAAGTAAACAATTTGTTTACAGTTCTCCATTTTAACTGACTTTTTGGGTTAACCTGCAAACTAGGTAAAAGGGCACCTACTGTTTGAAAATTCAGGAAAAGTCACACAAAGGAAGAAGCCCTTGAGCTGGGACTGCAATGATCAGTAAGTCTGTTACAAGGAAAAAATAAAAAACAGCATTTCATCAAAGGGAGGTATGAGCTGTACTTAGGAGAATCACAAGTAGACTACATAATTCATTAGGGGCACATGGCATATTTGGTAATAGGGAGATAGGTTGAAGCTAGATTGTGAGGGTTGTCAGAGGCCTTCAATGCCAGGCAGAGGAATGTGGACATCATCATTATATGTAATGGGAAGCTACTGAAAGTTTCTCATCATGGACACAGTGCAATGTGCACTATGAAAATCATGTTTTAAGAAAGATTAATTTGTTTGTACTGTGAAAAATGGAAGAACTAGGGGGCATGACCAAGGGCAATGTTGCCTATTAGGAAACAATGGCAAAGATTAGAAGGAAAGTTCTAAGGGTTGAAAGTGGTGGCAGACAATGGGATTAGGGAGAGAAGTGAAGAACCACTGGAAAATTATTAGATGTGGGGATAATGGAAAAGGGAGGGGTTGAACATAATTCCAAGACTTTGAGCATGTTCAGTGAAGGAAATGACAGTATTGTTATAGAAATTAGGAAAGAAGACCAGGAGAGAGCTGCTTATGGGAAAAAGATTAAAGGCTGGTTTTAAAATTAGAGATGACACAAACAAATGGAAAAACATTCCATGCTCGTGGACAGGAAGAATCAATATTGTTAAAATGGCCATACTCCCCAAAGCAATTTATAGAGTCAATGCTATTCCTATCAAACTACCAGTGACATTCTTCACAGAACTAGAAAAAACTATTTTACAACTTAGTTGGAACCAAAAGAGAGCCCAAATAGCCAAGACAATCCTAAGCGAAAAGAACAATGCTGGAGGCATCACACCATCCAACTTCAAACTACACTACAGTTCTACAGTAAGAAAACAGCATGGTACTGGCACAAAAACAGACACATAGACCAATGGAACAGAATAGGAAGCCTGGAAATAAGGGAGCACACCTACAACCATTTCATTTTCAACGAAGCTGACAAAAACAAGCAACAGGGACAGGAACCCCTATTCAATAAATGGTGCTGGGATAACTGGCTAGCCATATGCAGAAGATTGAATCTGGGTCCCTTTCTTACACCATATATGAAAAATCAGCTCAAGATGGAATTAAATGTAAGGACTTAAATGTAAAACCCGGAACTGTAAAAACCCTCACACAACCTAGACAATACCATTCTGGACACAGAAATGGGCAAAGACTACATGAGGAAGACATTGAAAGCAATTGCAACAAAAGTAAAAATTGACAAATGGGATCTAATTAAACTTAAGAACTTCTGCATAGCAAAAGAAACAACAGAGTAAACAGACAATCTACATAATGGGAGAACATTTTTGTAAACTGTGCATCCAACAAAGGTCTAATATCCAGATCTATAAGGAAATTAAACACATTTACAAAAGATAAAATCACCCCATTAAAAAGTGGGCAAAGGATATGAACAGACACTTTGCAAAAGAAGACATACATGTGTTCAATAAGCGTGACAAAAAAAGCTCATCCTCACTGATCATTAGAGAAATGCAAATCAAAACCACAATGAGACACCATCTAATTCAGTCAGAATGGCTATTATTAAAAAGTCAAAAAATAACAGAGGCTGGCAAGGCTGTGGAGAAAAAGGAATGCTTATACATTTTTGGTGGAAGTGTAAATTGGTTCAACCATTGTGAAGAACAGTGTGATGATTCCTCAGAGACCTAAAAACAGAACTACCATTTGACCCAGCAATCCCATTACTGGGTATATACCTAAAGGAATATAAATCGTTCTGTCGTAAAGACACATGCATACATATGTTCACTGCAAACTATTCACAATAGCAAAGACATGGAATCAACCTAAATGCTCAGACTGGATAAATAAAATGTGATACATATACACCATGGAATACTATGCAGCCTTTCTAGGAACATGGATGGAGCTGGAAGCCATTGTCCTGAGCTGGAAGCCATTGTCCTTAGCAAACTCACACAGGAACAAAAACCCAAAATACTACATTTTCTCACTAATAAGTGGGAGCTAAATGATGAGAACACATGAACACAGAAAGAGGAACAACAGATATTGGAGTCTACTGGAGGGAGGAGGGTAGGAGGAAGGAGAGGAGCCGGAAAAATAACTAATGGGTACTAGGCTTAATACCTGGGTGACAAAATAATCTGTACAGCAAACCCCCATGACACAAGTTTATCTAAATAACAAACCTACACATGTAACCCTGAATTTACAGTTTTAAAAGGCTGGTTTTAGACATACTGTATAAGAGAATAAAGTATATTAACCATGCACGAATGGCAGCTGTAGGTGTCACAGCAGAGAGGAAGAGATAGCCTAACTGAAGATGTACATTTTAGAGAAACCATAAGGGAATATGTGATAGTCTTTGCGTTTATTGACCAAGTCCTTGATTACAAACAATTTGATAGGGAATGAAATCAAGCTATGTGAGCATATTTACTCACATACTCTCCTACCCTTACTACTGAACACTTCATCCTGAAGTGACAGAAAGAGCTCCTTCCTCTTCCAACTAGAAAGTGGACTTAACCTTAGATATGTTTGTTAGTCAAATAGTTTCTTCTTCCCTACTATAGCCAGCCCTCTGCCTGTAGATACTGCCAACCTTAGCCAAACCTCTCTTCTAAACTGCTTACAAAGCTGTCTTTTAAATCAGAGCCCATCTCTTAAACAATGCAGAACATAAATATTTATCCTGACCCATTATGTACACATCATAGCACAGAAATGTAGCTCATCTCATCTTTTACATGCTACACGCTGATGTTTCTCCCATTTCTAGGATCTTAACAGTGACAGTAATTGACGGTGTGTGAAGAAAAAAGGGAAGATCAGGAGACTTTAACCTGTGTTATTCTCATGTTTAGAGGCAAAATGGGGAACAAAAAGGAAGCAAATAACAATCAGAAAAATAGGAGGATAACAATAGTATAATATCACGGATGCCAAAGGAGAGTTTCAAAAAGGAGAAGGCAATCAATAGTGTCAAATGTTTCAGACAATAATAAAAATTCAAAAATAAAAATATTTAAAACTTTCAAAATAAAATATCAAAAACTTTCTTGGTGCCAGGCATTGGTCCAAGAGATTTTTTTTGGTAAATCTTATTATCTTATTTAATCTAATATGTCCAAAATACTATCAAGTCAACATGTATTCAATATAAAAATTATAGTGTTTTTTTCCATACTCAGTCTTTAAAAACAGTGCTTGTTTTAAACTTTCAGTATACTCAATTTGGACTAGCCACATTTCAAATGCTTAATAGTTACATGTGGGTGGTGGCTACTCTTTTGGACAGAGCAGCACAGAGAGCTGTGGGAGAATTAAAGGAGATGGTTCATTCTTTTAGGAGATGCAGAAGATAAAGTACTCAGCAGAGGGGCTGGTAGGTGGAAAACACAGAAGTGTTAGCCTCATCCTTCCCTCACCCTCTCCTGATAATGGTTCATAGTTCTCTGGACTGAATGTGAGCAATTCACTCTGCCTTGTAAAACCCTGAATTCCTCACCTCCTTCTTACTTCTCCATAAAGTACAATGAGAGCACTCTCACCACCACCCTGCAGCAGAGTACCAACCTCTACGGCCTGAGCTGCTGCAATAACTCCCCCACATAGTGCCTTGTCATCTGCTTCTACTCCCACCAACCCATTCCCCATTGAGTGTATGGAATGCTTTTTTGGGGGGTGATTTTTTTTATTGTGGCAAAATACACACAAGATAGAATGTCCCATTTTAGCCATTTTCAAGCATACAATTCAGTAGCATTAGGTACATTCACATTGTTGTGCAACCATCAGCACCATCCATTTCCAGAACTTTTTCATTATTCCAAACTGAAACTCTGTACCCATTAAACAGTAACTCCCTACCCCCTCCTCTCCCAGAGCTTCTGGTAACCTCTATTCTACTTTCTGTCTTTGAATTTGCCTATTCTAGGTACTCCACATACATGGAATCTTACAATATTTTTCCATTTTCGTCTGGCTTATTATTTCACTAGCATAATGTTTCCAAGGTTCTTCCATGTTGTAGGATGTTTCAGAATTTCATTTCTTTTTATGACTGAATAGCATTCCATTGTATGTATATTCCACTTTTGTTTATCCATGCATCTGTTGATGCATATTTGCATTGTTTCTAGTTTTCTGGCTATTTGAATAGTGATGTCATGAACACTGGTGTACAAATATCCAAGAACTTTTTAATGCATTATCTCACTAAATCGTAACAACTCTGCAAAATAGATATTATTATCATCTTCATTTTACAGATAGGAAGAAACAGATGAACAGAGAGGTGAAGTCACATAGCTGCTGAGGAGTGAAATCAGGATCCAAACGCAGCAATATTATCATTTTATGTGTGTCATGATGTGAAAAGGACTGGGAAGCGCTGCTCTACACCAGTGTGCTACAGCTGCCTCGTGAAGACGGTGGAGGTCTGAGAAAGATTGGTTAGGTACTTGGGGCATCAGAAGTTACCAGTGATAAAGCAAGATCAGCAGCAAGATGGGGATAGTGAAGTAGAGAATAAAGAAATGATAGCAGTAAAAAGAAAGTGAAAACAGGACAATAGCTACAAAGTACAGTGGAGTTAAGTGACTGAATTGTTTCAAGGTGAAGACTCTGGAGAGTTTACAACAGATTAAATATGTATAGCCAATTTAAAAAGCAGATTTCAAAACCGTCAACAAAAGGATCACAACATAAAAATAAGATGCCTAGAAGGATTAAGTAGGGTCAGACAGTAGTAACTGATAGACTTACTTTGGTATAATCCAAAGAGGAAAGATGCTATACTTTCCATAATAACACTAAGCTTTTTGTGAAACAGCAGTAGAAGTTTACTATAAATACGGATAAAAGGATTGGGAATCCTGCTTAACCAGTGGCAGAGCTCCACTTGCTAGGAAGAAAGCATTATTCTAAATGACATTCTATGCTACCTTGCTTGTTTCACTCTCTTTGAATCCTTTTTCAAGTATTTGTAGAAGATGCTTTTTCTTCACTGTAACTTCAGGATCAAAAACATAAAAAAGGCATTCCAGCATCCTTCGGTAGCTCCTTAAGAATAAGTGAAACAGAAGAATTTTGAGGACTGATTTCACAAAAGCTTAGCCGTAGATAAGATAACCATATGTCCTGCCAGGGATATTTCTCATTTACATGCAATGTTCTAGTGTCATTATTAATAGCTCCCCTGCCTTCAACCTCAAAAACAGGCTCTATGTGGATAAATTATGAGGTCATCCTAGCCATGGGAAATGCATAAAAAGGAAACATTTACTAACAAGGTATATGTGTATTTTTAATGCTGTAAACTTTTAAAATAGAAATTTTACAAATACGGTCAAACTTTTTAAAGTTGTTCCATAAAGAATTCAATTTCTTACTCTGAATCATGCATATCTTCATTCTCCAAAAACTTTTGAAATTTCTGTTCGAATTTTAATCTCAGAATACGGTTGTTAACTTTAATGATGCGTTTTACTTTTACTCCTGTAATACCATATGTTCTGAAGTCCCAGGCACAAAAACGTGACAGAATTAATTCATAGCAGAAATTAAACCTATGTGGGCATACAGAATATACATGAAGAGAATAACAGATTTTCCTTAAAATGTTTAAGAACAGAAGATTACATATGATAAAAGCTATGGCTCATATTTTGTGTTTTTTTGCTAAAGATACTATAATCATATAGTGGCTCTGTTTATCTATTCATTTATTGCACATTTGTTCTGCCTGGAAGACACGTTGGTTGAGCAGTCCTCACTTTCTGAAACATGTTCTTTCTTAGCTTCAGGGAAACTACACACGCCTTCCTCTTATTAGCTGCTCTTTCATAGTTTTCTTTGCTGGGTCTTCTCAGATAGACTTTTAGATGTTGAACTGCCCAGGGATCAGCCTTTGGCCTTCCTCTTGTTTCCATGAACACTCTCCCTAGATGATTTCACGTGGTTCCTTGGTTGTATATACATCCTGATAAATTACAACATTTTATTTCTAGTCTTGATCTCTACCCAACTTAGCTGGTTATACCCAGACTTGAATATCTAACTACCTACTTGATATGTCCATCTGCATATTAAATAGGTGACTCCAACTTAACATAACCAACACTGCACCCCAAACCTGCTCCTCTGAGTATTTTCCATCTCAGTATATGGCACCACCATTTAACTGGTAGCTTAAGTCAAAACCGTAGGAATAATCCTCTCCTTTCTTCCTTACCAGTATCAAAATCTTTTTTGTTTGTTTGTTTTTGTTTTTGTTTTTGAGACGGAGTCTCGCTCTGTCGCCCAGGCTGGAGGGCAGTGGCGCGATCTCCGCTCACTGCAAGCTCCGCCTCCCGGGTTCACGCCGTTCTCCTGCCTCAGCCGCCCGAGTAGCTGGGACTACAGGCGTCTGCCACCACGCCCGGCTAATTTTTTATATTTTTAGTAGAGATGGGGTTTCACCGTGTTAGCCAGGATGGTCTCAATCTCCTGACCTAGTGATCCGCCTGCCTCAGCCTCCCAAAGCGCTGGGATTACAGCCGTGAGCCACCGCACCCGGCCCCAGTATCTAATTCTTTAGGAAGTTCACCTGGCTCTACATCTAGAATCCATCCTGAATATGATCATGCTTTATCATCACCACTGTTACCATCCTAATCCAAATCACCACGATCTCTCATTGGACTACTGAAATAACTTCCTGACTATGAATACGGATATGAAAGAGGCAATGTCTGCTCTAATGAAGCCTAAACAAGTAAAGCCAGAAATAAAATTTCTAAACTGATAAGGGCTCTGAAGAGAAGCTTGGGGTAAGGAATGCAAAGGGGACCTACTTAAGATAGGGCCTTGGGGAAGACCTTTCAGAGACGTTAAGATATTTGATCTGAAAATTGGAGGAGGAGCAGCAGGAGCCAGCTGTGTGAAGAACACTGAAGTGCTTGTTTGCTCTCTGCTGCCCTCACCTGGCCATACGCATAAAATTCCGGTCCTGTCTAGCACAGAACCTAGATTAAGATGAGATTGCAAAATGGATCATCTTGAGAAGGAAGTAAATGATCTTATAAGGAATACATTTGCCTTTAATGAAAGATCTAGGTCCTCACCTACATAATCAACCAGGATCTGAAATGGGTGTGAGCTAAAGTCACAGAGGTGAGCTTCCTGATGGGTAGCCTCTCCTTGAGCCTAAGAGCGAGCTCCTAATTTAGGGCATCTATATTTCTCACAAGCAAATACTTAATCAATGCAGCCAGGATCTTATAAATTACTTCTCCCCTGGAGTTGAAAAGACAGCTGCCTAAATCAAACTAATCTCAGAGGAGCTCACAGTCTGGTAGAGAAGACAGATATGAATAGTGTTGCAATCAAGCATGATGCCTGCTAACCAGTTCAGAGGACCTACTAAAACAGCCACATTATCATCTGAGGTGGGGAAGCTAGTGCCCCTCCTATAGAGGGATCATTTGCTGGGCCTAAATCTGTCAAGTTTCCCCTAAATAACATGTCCTGGAAGCTTTCTGCACTCTGATAGAAACTAGGGCTGCAGGTGTTTTAGATAAAGCTTTTGCTATATAGTGGATATTGGGCTTGAGGCGTCTCATGAATGGGTGGAAGGAATGAATAGGCAATATCTAGCTTCTAGGCTGGTCCCCCAGGAAGGCAGGAGCTATGAGGTGTGATTTTTTTCATGGATATTTTATGTTGCCCAGGAATTCAACAGCTGAGCAATGATGAAGTAAGGGTGAGGTATGCAAAAGCATTCTGGGTGAAGGACGCAGAACAAACAAAACCACTTATGTGGTGGAGTACTGCATTTGCTTCAAGAGCAGTGCGGTACACAGTTCAGCTGACTTTAAAAGATCTGAACAGAAGTTATGATAGTCTAAAACCATACAGTGGAGAACACTGATCCTTCACTGTAAGTGAAGAGTCTGCCAATAAAACAAAACAAAACAAAACAAAAGCTTTTGCAGCTATTTGTTGCCTTCCAAATTACATTCAGTAATTACCTACAGTAGAGGATTCATTATTCTCCACTGTATGGTCTCTAAACTAATCATAACTCCTGTTCAAATCCTTTAGAATCAGCAGAACTGTGTACCTTATCCTCATTCATTCAGCGGGACTTGACGGTATAAACATTCACAATGATATGTATCAATGACTAATATATTCAGTTACATAGAAATATGGCTACAAATTTTGTTAATATACAATAATGTGCTCATTTAGCAAATGTAGGATACATATGTTTTTAAATGTTTGATGCTTAATCTATTAAAATATACTTTAAAATCCTAGATAAGGGTTTAATAAATATTTTTACAGGCTTACTGACTTAAATCAACATCATAACAGTTTCAAAACCCTATAAAACAAAAAGTTTCTGCTTCTGTAGCTCCTTGAGATAGTATAGCATGAAATCTTTATAAAGAGGCAGATTAATTACTGAAAGTCATTATATACATCAAAGCAAAACTGTTGAGTATCTATAAAGTGATATGGAAGCTTCAACTAGTAAATATATACTGGGCTATTAATCCAGCCCCATGCTAGATGTTATGACTTGTAAGACACAGAAAACATCATATCTTCCCCAAAAGAACTTACAGAGTCACTTATATATTGTTTCGTGGTATTTTAAAGGTTTTTTAAGTTGTAAATAGACTGTATCTATAACCAGGTTGACAGCTTCTCAGGCACAAGGACAGCATCTTTTATGCTTTGGAGTCCCTACTTGATAAATGTTGTCTGATGTCAATGGGTAACTCAATTGGCAACACATCAGTAAATAATATGAATCTATAATAATGAAGGTATAGTAGCAATAATCCACTCAACTAGCATGTCTCTATAAAATAAGATTTTTTAAAACTGGAAAATATAATAATTTTATTTCATAAAAGAAGTGAAGCTAAGAGATAATGACATACAATTAGAAACATGCAGTGTTTTGTTGTTGTTAAAGACATAAAGGTAATTTTAACAGAAAATCTTTCAGTCCTAGTTCTACTCAAATACTTTTTATTTAAATACTGAATCCTTAGCCTTAAAAATATTAATAAGATAAGTCAGTGTTTAAATAAAACAACTAGAAATGTAGCCTAGCAATCTAAAGCACTTAGTAGTTATTTCTTTGCATAAAAGATCAGAGGAAAAGTAGCCAAACTTGCAGTATGCTAAAACTAAAAAACAGTCCTTTAAATTCTGCTAACATATATTTGATTTATTCCTTAAAATAAATCAAGGTTACCCTTTTTAAAACCAAGTAAACAGGTTAATGCTAATCAAAATCCATCAAATCCACCTAATTTACTGTCAGGCTGACATAGTTATCTAAATGACTTTTTGGTCATTTTGCTTTTACATTTTTTTTCACTAATCCACTTGTCACAAAGAGCTTCCTTTGCAATAAGTTAAAAAGAAACAGAAATAAGTTTTAAAAATCCTGTTTAGGGCTGGGCACAGTGGCTCATGCCCGTGATCCCAGCACTTTGGGAGGCCGAGGTAGGAAGATCACTTGGGCCAGGAGTTTGAGACCAGCCTGGCCAACATGGCAAAAACCCATCTCCACTAAAAATACAAAGATTAGCAGGTGTGGTGGCATGCACCTATAATCTCAGCTACTCGGGAGTCTGAGGTAGGAGAATCGCTTGAACCTGGGAGGCAGAGGTTGCAGTGAGCTGAGATCGGGCCACTGCACTCCAGTCTGGGGAACACAGTGAGACTCTATCTCAAAAAAAAAAAAAAAAAAAATTCCTGTTTAGGTTGAGTGAATATAAATGTGCACCCAGTAGAGACACACCATTCAGTTTTTGCACTTGAAAAGTCAAGGCCTTTACTTGTTTATATGGGAACTGGATGAACACCTTTTATATCTTTGTATATAAAAATCAAATAATGTGGTTAAGCAAACAGTAGTAACTGCTGGGCAAATGGATGTACTAATACAAAGGAAAGTATTTTAAAATGCCTCTTTTTCCCCTGCAAAGAGCTTCTTACGCTTTTCCACCAGAGTTCTCCCAAGACCTTTGAGAAGCTTTTAGTCACAGAGGTGAGAGAAAAGCCATGTCTAATAGAAATCAAGGGACTTGGTTTAAAGTAACCCATAACAATGACATTTTTTTTTCTAAAAAGTTAGTGTAAGTTTTACATTCTACACTATAAAAAGTAGTATTTATTTTGACATTGACTTCAAGTAAAATCATGCTCCAGGGTTATGTGCCAAGTCCATTCTATAGTTTGACATGTCTCCTGGTGTATTTCCATGTACCCAGTTCCTACTGTGGCTCTAGAGCAATCTTTCTGTTTCACAGGCTCTTCAATTCTGAAAAAAAATGACTCAGAAATGTGAAAGTCATACTTAACAATATTTTTCTTCGTGACTTTTTTTTTAAAGGGTAATTTTAAATTGTGCCCCTCTAATTGAAGCAACACAACCACTTCCTAGTATCTACTAGTAGGCCTTGGTTCTAAAGCCTGGCTGTCTCATTTCTGCTTGAATCTGGTGTCTCTCCACTTTTGCTGATACAAGCTTTTGACCTGAATTCCTGATATAAGCATATACTTTATCCTAACATGTAGTGTTCTTGTGCATCCCTACTGTAGCTATCTCTAAACAGTGGGTTCCACTCTGATCACAGACCTACAGAAGATTTGCTAGACAGTCTCCTCCCATGTTGGCAACCTGCTGTTGCCAGTCCTGCTTTGGCATTCTTGCTCTGTTCCAGTTTCTCAACCAATATTCAGAAACATGCACTATATCCAGTCCAGAAACAAACAGTATAAACATATGAAAAATTAAAACTTGATTATAAACTTTTTTTTTCTAAATTATATTCTGCTCTTGGGCTAAGGAAAATTGGGTAAAGAGCAATGATAAATCATTAGGATGTCTTCAAGGCTGGCTCATGATAATGGCATAAACAGAAATGTATAGGTGGAAAGTAGGTAATTTTCAATTTTCAATAGATGCCTGCCAATTTTTAATAGATGAATATTCTGCATGAGAGATGTTTCAAAAATGGGACATTCTAGGATTTTACAAGTTGATATTCTGGTTGATGATCCTAAGTACTTAAATTATTTTTAAAGCTATACTAAATTTCTAACAGATTTACCAGTCATCAGATCGAGTGCCTTCTTCAAAATGGAAATTTCCCACAGTCTCTAACTCAGTTAACAAAAGTGGGATCAATAAACCATGACTTTTCTTCTTTTGTTTTACTTCAATATGATAAATTGCTTCAATTCTGTTGGAGAGAAAAATACATACAGCTATTAGAATGATCTACAAATCACAACATTAAAACTTATGATAGACTTTTTTTTAACTGATGTTAAAACACAAGGCTTCCTTTCAATGGATAAAGGAAGTTTAGTGTTAACAGTTAAACCATGTAAAGGATATTCTATTTTTGGCAATTAAAATCACTTTTAATTTTGCTACTCTCAGAATATGCGAAGGCTAGAAGACTATCCTTGCTCTACCACTTACAGCTTTCAGCTCTCAGACATGTCACTTGGACTTTTTATGCCTCAGTTTTCTTAGTAAAATGGCAATATTCATAGTCCTTATTTCTAAAATGGCTGTTTTATATATGCAAAATACATGTAAAGATCTTAGCAAAGAGTCTGGCACAAAATAAAAACCCAATACATGTTACCATCATTTTTAGTATTATCACAGGGCACACTAACTTATCCACTTAGTGCCTTAGTAAATAAAAAAATTCACAGTCCTTGCTAAGCCTTCTTGCTTTACATTTCGAATTGATAATTGAGACTGAACTTGTTTCTACTGTGTGTGGGCTTTGCCAGGTCTCATCTATTTGGTGAGTTTATGCACCAGCAGAGGCTCTATTTTTTTTAGTTTGCAGACACTAGAGCAGTGATATGACAGGAAGCCACTGGGAGGAAGCTTACTGTTCCTAATTAAGAACTGCCTCTGCAAAAAAACTGTATGCCAGCTTTTAACCCATGATGATTATAAGTACTAGGAACTAGTACTAAGAATATAATTCATGCTTTACTTCATACTGTAATTGTTCACACTCCTGAAGAAGGGAACTAGGGTCAATGATGGCCCAAAACATTCTGATTCTCTTGGTTTCAAATCTGAACAACTAGATAATTAATTAAACATACTCATCTAGTTTTTTGTTCCAGAATGTTACCCTTTCATTCAAGGCACTTAGTTTGGTCAATATCTTCTGTTGAAGACTTGGTTCTTCAGTGACAGTTTCACAACTCTTCAATGTTTCAGGATCAGTTACTTTACTGTTATTGGATCCATCACTGTGCCCTTTGCCTGAGCCCTTGAGTTCAGCCAGTTCTCGTTCCAACTGTGGAAAACATTGCATCAGAGAGCAAAATAAAAATAAAACATGGTCTAGGCAAAGTCAGAATTCAGATATTAATTTTTAATGGGATCTATTAAACAAATGTCTAATTTAAATGAACAAAGTGGAAATCTAGGTAATAAACAGGCTAAATTTCACAAAAGCATGCCAAACATGTGATTTCAACTTTGGTGCAAATTCAGTCAGCCAGTTTCTCTTGACCAAGTGCCAACCTTAACCACTTCAAACATGGCAGTCTCTCAACTGAAAATAAGCAAAGCAACAGATTTTCGAATAGTTTTAATAAGTTTGCCTCTATTAAAGCCAAAGTAAAATTAAAATAAATACTGGTTTTAGTACAAATATTTAAAATTCAAATAATGTAATTTTTAACACACCTACTTTTCAATTTTTAAGTATTTTTCAACCATTTTGGTGTTCTGGAAAAAAATAACTAGTAGAAATACACAAAAGCATATATATAGGGGTGCACATTTTTCCTTTTGTCTTAGTCTCTTACATGACTCAGCACTGGTCTTAAGATTTTGTTATTTTGGGGTTTTTATATTTATCATAATGAACTTTTTGCATTAATGTAGATATTTAAAAATATGCATTGAATATTATTTATCTTGATTACTAAGGTTTTTGGGTACTCCCTTAAATTCTGGGCCCACAGCAAGAACCTCTTTTGTCTAACTCTAATCTCAGCCTTATGTAATTTAAAGATAAATTGTACTGAGGAGGGGGGCCAAGATGGCTAAATAGGAACATCTCTGGTCTGCAGCTTCCAGTGAGACCAATGCAGAAGGCAGGTGATTACTGCATTTCCAACTGAGGTACCTGTTCATCTCATGGGGACTGGTTAGACAGTGGGTCCAACCCATGAATGGTGAGCAGAAGCAGGATGGGGTGTCACATCACCCAGGAAGTGCAAGGAGCAGGGACCTCCCTCCCCCAGCCAAGGGAAGCCATGAGGGACTCTGCTATCCAGCCAGGTTACTATGCTTTTCCCACCATTTTTGCAATCTGCAGATTAGGAGATTCCCTCCTGTGCCTACACCACCAGGGCTCTGGGTTTCAAGCACAAAACTGGGCAGCTGTTTGGGCAGACACTGAGCTAGCTGCAGGAGTATTTTTTTTTTTTTTTTTTTTTTGAGACACGGTCTTGCTCTGTCGCCCAGGCTGGAGTGCAGTGGCGTGATCTCAGCTTACCGCAAGCTCCGCCTCCTGGGTTCATGCCATTCTCCTGCCTCAGTCTCCTGAGTAGCTGGGACTACAGGTGCCCGCCATGGAACCCCTGCGAGATAGAATCATTCACTCCCCTGCAAAGGGGACTGAAGCCAGGGAGCCAAGTGTTCTCGCTCAGTGGGTCCCACTGCCATGGAGCCCAGCAAGCTAAGAACCACTGGCTTGAAATTCCTGCTGCCAGCACAGCAGTCTGAAGTCGACCTGGGTTGATTGAGATTGGTTGGGGCAGGGGTGTCTGCCATTATTGGCGCTTTAGTAGGTGGTTTTTTCCTGACAGTGCTAAGAAGGTTGGGAGGTCTCGGCTGGGTGGCAAAGCGGCTGTGGTCAGACTGCTTCTCTAGATTCCTCCTCGCTAGGCAGGGCATCTCTGAAGGAATGGTAACAGCCCCAGTAAGGGGCTTACAAACAAAACTCCCACTTCCCTGGGACAGAGCACCTGGTGGAAGGGGTGGCTGTGGGCACAGCTTCAGCAGATTTAATTGTTCCTGCCTACCAGCTCTGAAGACAGCAGCTAATTCTGACAAGAGAGATTCTCCCAGCACAGTGCACCAGCTCTGCTAAGGGACAGACTGCCTGCTCAAGTGGGTTCCTGACCCCCATGCCTCCTGACTGGAAGTCACCTCCCAACAGGGTCGACATACACCTCATACAGGAGAGCTCTGGCTGGCATCAGGCCAGTGCTCCTCCAGGATGAAGCTTCCAGAGGAAGGAGCAGGCAGCAATCTTTGCTATTCTGCAGCCTCCACTTGTGATACCCAAATGAACAGGGTCTGGAGTAGACCTCTAGCAAACTGCAGCAGACCTGCAGAAGAGGGGCCTGTTAGAAGAAAAACTAACAAACAGAAAGCAACAACATCAAGATCAACATAAGGACCCTCACACAAAACCCCATCTGAAGGTCATCAGCCTCAAAGATCAAAGGTAGATAAATCCATGAAGATGAGGAAAAACCAGCACAAAAACGCTGAAAATTCCAAAAACCAGAATGCCTCTTCTCTTCCAAATGATTGCAACTCCTCTCCAGCAAGGGCATAAAACTGAACAGAGAATGAGACTGATGAATTAACAGAAGTAGACTTCAGAAGGTGGGTGATAACAAACTCCTTTGAGCTAAAGGAGCAAGTTCTAACCCAATGCAAGGAAGCTAAGAACATTGATGAAAGGTTACAGGAACTGCTAACTAGAATAACCAGTTTAGAGAACATAAATGACCTGATGGAGCTGAAAAACACAGCACAAGAACTTTGTGAAGCATACACAAGTATCCGTAGCTGAAATCGATCAAGCAGAAGAAAGGATGTCAGAGATTGAAGATCAACTTACTGAAATAAGGCATGAAGACAAGATTAGAGCAAAAAGATGAAAAGGAATGAACAAAGCCTCCAATAAGTATGGGATTATGTGAAAATATCAAGTCTCTGATTGATTGGGGTCCCTGAAAGTGATGGGGAAAATGGAACCAAGCTGGAAAACACACTTCAGGATATTATCCAGGAGAACTTCCCCACCCTAGCAAGACAGGCCAACATTCAAATTCAGGAAATACAGAGAACACCATTAAGATACTCCTTGAGAAGAGCAACCCCAAGACACATAATTGTGAGATTCTCCAACACTGAAACAAAGTAAAATATGTTAAGAGCAGCCAGAGAGAAAGGTCAGGTTATCTACAAAGGGAAGCCCATCAGACTAACAGCAGATCTCTCTGCAGAAACCCTACAAGCCAGAACAGAGTGAGGGCCAATATTCAACATTCTTAAAGAAAAGAATTTTCAACCCAGAATTTCATATCCAGCCAAACTAACCTTCATAAGTGAAGGAGAAATAAAATCCTTTACAGAGAAGCAAATGTTGAGGGATTCTGTCACCACCAGGCCTACCTTACAAGAGCTCCTGAAGGAAGCACTAAATAGAGAAAGGAAAAACTGGTACCATCCACAGCAAAAACATACCAAAATATAAAGACCAATGACACCATGAAGAAACTGCATAAATTAATGTGCAAAATAACCAGCTAGCATCATGATGACAGGATCAAATTCACACATAATAATATTAACCTTAAATGTAAATGGGCTAAATGCCCCAATTAAAAGGCACAGACTGGCAAAAGATTAAAGACCCATTGGTGTGCTGTATTCAGGAGACCCATCTCATGTGCAAAGACACACATAGGTTCAAAATAAAGGAATGGAGGAATATTTACCAAGCAAACGGAAAGCAAAAAAA